CATTCACGCATCCCGAGGCGGAGGGCTGCGGCCATCTTCTCTTTCCATTTAATTTGTTAATTAGATTAGAAATTTTGTAATAATTAATTTAGTATTATTTATTCGGACTGTAATATTTATTCGGACCCTCCGAACGAGGGCAATTGTGTAATAAGTGTGCGTGAGTGTGTGTATGTCTTCCAACCCCATGTCTTTCTTCCCTTTTATTTACCCGCTTATGATGGTAAACTAGGACATATTTAAATTAGCATACCTTATGCTATGCATGCATGCATCCGCACATTTGTCTTGCATGCATCGGGCTCGGCGCATCACTCTAACTGCATTTATATTTTAATTTCAAATTGAATACGTGTTAGTTGTAGCATTCCACATGTCATTGTAGATTAGCCGAGCCTATCTTAGTTGCATTTTGCATGTGTTGCATTAGCCATCTTAACATGAACTAGGATCATGCATATGATTACTAACTAGTTTTTGTTTTGGCTCGAAGTACTAGGTAAGCATTTATGCTTTAGCATACCGCATGCGTGTAAGTGTTGCCATAATAGCATGATTACCATGAGGCTAGCTGCTTATGTGATATAACTACTTGAATGCCTGTGGATGAAGGTCGAATTGCTTAAATTGGGACAATGCATTAAAAACTGTGAGTTTTAAGCCCACTCGATAGTGGCAAAACCATCTTTTTCCTAAAAGTCCACTTAAGGGTGGCAAAACCTGCATTTTAGCCTACTTGCGAGTAGCAAACCATTTTCAAAACAAACATGCTATGTTTTGTTCCAATTTAGGTGATTCGGTCTATACTTGTTTGCTGTGCGCATAACATAGTAATTCTAGGCTAATAACCGGAATAAGAACACATAGCGCTTTCAAAAACGGATATCACGGTTAGTAGAGGCCGATCTTCGGATCGGGCGAGAGGGGGTGCTCATAGCTGACCTTCCCCAAGCGTACCCAAGCTCTCGACCCGAGGCAACTTTGGTGATGACGTACACGTGGCCTTTGGTACCGAGTCAGCGTTTCGTAAATTCCCCCATAAAAAATATTTAGGTGGCGACTCTGTATCTAGCAAAGCAGTCCATGTTTGGCACTTCTTTCAAAAATCTGTTTTCTCAAAACGATTTTCCAGATTTGGACTCTTTGGTTCAGATTAAGAACCGTGACACAAATCGAGTCTGAACTGTAGCGGGGTCCCTCGCGGACATGTTACAGGAGGGTGCCAGCTAAATCACACTCAACCCATAAGGGGAAGGGTACAAGCCAAACTACGCTTCACGCAGAGAGGGGAAAAGCTCCATTCCAAACTACGCTATGTGTAGAGAGGGTGGAGGGTGCAAGCCAAATCACACTCACGTGATAAGGGAAAGGGGTACTAGACAAACTACGCTTCGCATAGAGAGTGGAAAAGCTCCATTCCAAACTATATTGCACGTAGAGAAGGTGGAGGGTGCAAACCAAATTGCACTCACATGATAAGGAGAAGGGGTGCTTGCCAAACTAAGCTTCGAGCAGAGAGGGGAGAAGATCCATTCCAAACTACGCTTCGCGCAAAGAGGATAGAGGGTGCAAGACCAATCACGCTCGTGCAATAAGGGGAAGGGGTGCTACCCAAACTATGCTTCGCGTGGAGAGGGGAAAAGCTCCATTCCAAGCTACACTTCACGCAGAGAGGGTGGAGGTGCAAGCCAAATCGCACTCACGCGATAAGGGGAGGGGTGCTAGCCAAACTACGCTTCGTTTAGAGAGGAGAAAAGCTCCATTCCAAACTACGTTGGGCATAGAGAGGGTGGAGGGTACAAGAAAAATCGCACTCACACGTTAAGCGGAATGGGTGCTAGCCAAACTACGCTTCGCGCAAAGAGTGGGGAAGCTCCATTCCAAACTATGCTTTTCGCAGAGAGGGTGGTGGGTGCAAGCCAAATCACACTCACACGACAAGGGGAAGGGGTGCTAGCCAAACTACACTTCATGTAGAGAGGAGAAAAACTCCATGCCAAGCTACGCTTTGCACATAGACGGTGGAAGGTGTGAGCCAAATCACACTTACGTGATAAGGGTGTATACAAAGAGCATGATGCATTTGGATACAACATAATTGCTGAAATCAATATGAAATATGATGCGATGCATGTTCCATGCAATGTAACAGAAAAGATGCACAAAAGTGGTGCTACTGAAAGCACCCCGCAAGAAAAGTGGCAAGGTACACCCTACCGTGCATAGGGATATGCCATCACATACCCTAAGATATAAATTACCTGAGATTATGTCTTACTTATTTCGAGAAAAGAAAGCCGCTCGGGAACATGTTTTGCACATCCCGAGAAAAGAACACCGCTCGGGAACATGGTTCACACGTCTCGAGAAGAGAATGAGAGACAATGATCCTAAACGCACCATGGCATAAAAGAATAGATGGTACAAGGCAACACATGATGCAGTGAGAGCGGTAAACTGGATAAAAACGATACTCCAATAAAAGTAAAGTAAAGCAATGTTTTTTAGAAGATACCTCATAGAGACCTCCATGTTACTCTCCAACTTATAGTTCAAAGGTCCTCAATTGCTTATAAATGGATACAACTTGCTCTGGCTTGAGATCGGGGCATATTCATGCACCGGAGAAATAACGGGACTTGGAACGGTGCAGCCCATAACTTCAAACACTTTAATTTTCCTTTTCATGATGACAACAGGACCCCTTATACACAGATTGGGCAGGAGCACAACAAAAATCAACTCTGGACCAGAAGTTGGGTCGACCGACCACAAAATAGGGATGGGTGGCCACCCGATGGATTTTAGGGGCAATTTTGACAATTTGACATTGTGGCTATTTAAAACACAACAAGGGCCTCATTTCACACACCCACACATCCGAAAACCCTCTTACTCTCTCTCTAGGTGCTTTCTCTCTCTAGATTTGCACTTTACTCGCATTACCCACCCCCCCACGCAGACATTATTCGTAAAACACCAGTGATCCTCTACATTTTGAGCCTTGAAATTTGATTTGGTTGAGTTTCGTGGGTTCTCATTGCTTTGGGCTCATTTCTCTTGTGTTTTTCTTGGTTTTTGCACTTTTCTCGGGTTTTGACTTTTTCCCTCTTTTTGTCTCTATTATGGTTTGACTTTTTGGATTTTTCACCTGTTTCATTTTGCCTCATTTTCACTCACCAACAACTACATTGCTCATGGAGAACGACATTCCTCATAACGGTGTCCCTCTTGAGGTACCGGTACTTCCACCCTCTATTGAGGTTGAGAAGCCTATAGCTGATGAGGCTGGCGAGGCAACACAGGACATTACTGCTAACATTGAGGCAAAGGAGATCTATCTCCCAGGGCCTGAGCCCGAGTTACTTCCGTTGAGGATGAGGCCATTCCACCTGGCCACTTACTATCCCTGGACACACGCAATGGCCCCCGATGGCATGTTAAGGTTTGAGGATTTTACTAGGGAGATGCCTGAGGATTTTCTATTAGAGGAGCGGGCCTCCCATCTTTCTCACAACGTCACAAAGGTAAGAACTTTACTTTCATGCACTTTTCTTATTTTGCCATTTCATTACTACCTTTCATTCTGTTATACACCTGATACTTTCTTTTCTTTTTAACACAAGGTGACGCTCTCTCTTGGAGAGGATACGGGGCTATGACAGTGAAGGACTAGTACCAAGAGCTCCCTGCTATGGTCTGCGAGCTAGTCGACGAGGCGGGCTTCGACCTATTTTGCTTAGGGCTTGCGCAACAAATGGCCAATCCGACCTTACTTGGATCTTTGGTGGATAGGTGGTGGGACACCACCAACTCCTTCCACTTCTCCTCCACAATGGAGATGACAACAACTCCCTACGACTTCTTGATGATTACTGGCTTGAGAGTCGGGCTGATCCGATCCCTTTTGACCTCAACATAGGCTAGTGGGAGGCCATTTTGGTTCACTTGCTCGGCGCACACCTTCCTTTGGATAGGTCGGCCAAGGTTAAATACAACAGGTTTTATGAGCACTTCCGTGGGAGCTATCCAGAGACCTAGGAGGAGGTTGAGTAGTACACAGAGGCTTCTTGATATATCTCCTCGGTACCACCTTGTTTGGGAACATGTGGAATATCATAGGCCTATACATGCTGAGTGCCTTGGTGGTACTGCCCCGAGTCCGGTTCTATGATTGGGGTGGTGCTAGCCTCGCCACCCTTTATGGCTACATATGCTCCAGTTCTCGTAAAAAATGGGAACAAGGTCGGGGGCTACTGGTGAGCTTGGGAGGTACGCACTGCACTTTTATTTTCAATTTCTATTCATATTTGCTTTCTGCTTTGCACTTTTTGTATTTACTATTTACACATTGTACTTTCTACTTTGCACTTTCTGTCTTTATCCCTGTATTTCTGCCTGTTGACTCACAAACTGACCTTTCCTTGCAGCTCTGGGTGCACGCATACTTTCCTATCCTTGCCCCTATACCGAAGGACAAGGTACAAGCAGTTTTTCCCTATTCTTAGCGGTATGACGATCGGTGTCATCCTCGGTGTCGTGACGATACCACCTCCGCCTACTACCGCCGTTTCTTTGACATAGTGACGGTGCCTGAGGTAATATAAAACTCTTATCCATTCCATTCCATTACACTGCTTTGATCCACACTCTGACAACTGATGGCAACTAACAACTGTGAATTCTCGATTTGCAGATCATGTGGCAACCATGGGTGGTGATGCTGGCCAGTACAGGGGATGATTATGCTAGGATCTTGGGACATCTCCTGGATACAGATCCTACTAGAGGGCCCCTTCTGTCGGACCTGGAACCTTGAGAAGAGATTCGTGCACAAGACCTAGGGCTTACGTGCCCCCGTTGTTCCTGCTTTGCCTCCTGCACCGATGGAGACAGTCGATAGTCTCCCAGTTGAGGTCATCATGCAGTATATGACGTGATAGGATACCAACCTATTTCGGGGGGTTGGAGACTATGCAGCCTTCATTAGGACTCATCTGATGTCAGCTCTGACTGGAGCTCGAGCTGGAGACGTGGCAGGTGCACCCGCTGCTGGGCCTAGTGTTGAAGGGGCTGCCCCTGCTATTCATGTAGCGGGTCAGCCAGAGATCTTGACTGCAATCCCATGTTGGCGACCGAGTGGGACGGCCTATCAGATTCCAGTTGAATACCCAAATAAGGAGCATGGGTACGTTAGGGGCCCTAACGTACAGCAGGTATGACCTTTACCTCGCAATTTGCATTTCACACTCCCATTTTTGTATACTAATGTTCAAACTCATTTGCAAGTGCCTTTGGAGTATGTAGACAGCCTCCTCGGGTTGGTCGCCTCTCTGATCCAGACGGTGCGGAGGAAAGAGACATTGCTGACTCTCCATGGTTATTAGGTGCCCTTTCTTTTCTCATTCATCTGACTGCTTTGATCTGTTCTACACCACACTGTACTGATATGCCATACTCAAACTAATTCTTTCCTACTATTCTGATACTCGGCATTGCTTTCTACTAATTATGCATTGTTTTATACTAATTTTCTATTTTTTTTTCTTTCAGGCCCCACTCGCACCTAGGGCACCGGTAGCAACAGCGGCACCAATGGCATCTCCTTCGGCTACAGAGAGAAGAGGTAGACAAGCTCCTGCACGTGATAGAGTTGAGAACAGTGGTAGGGACAAAGGCAGAAGTGCTCGAGGCCAGAGCAGAAAGTCTCAAGCAAAGGAGACTTCTTCCTCTTCAAAGCCGATTTTGAATGGGGATGCTAATGAGATCAACAACACCGAAGAGACGGCGAGCAAGCACTCCGAGTCCAAGAGCGAGAATGGTGATGACGGCTCTAGATCAAGGAACGAAGAAGATACCGAGACTGGCTCTAGGTCACGGAGTGACGAGGATGATGACGACTTAGAGTCTCACTCCTCTGATGATAGAGACGCCGATGAAGATAGTGCCCCTGAGTCCCATCTGCGGAAGAAGACGAAGAGGACCTCTCGAGCTTGACTCTGATTTTGTATTCTTTTGCTCATTTTCTTTTGTTTTGTAGGTTAGCACTTTGTATAGCTTCAGATATGACTATACTTTTTGCTTGAAACACTTGTATTTTCTCTTTTGTAAAACTATGATTGGGGTAAAACCTTGCAGTTTATAAAAGGAGTTTTATTTTACATCTCGAGTCATGGCACCACACTTTTCATAAACTTGGAATGAAATTTGAAACAAAAAATGCTTGTATTAGAATGATATCATAACTGGATATTGAGCCTCTAACTAACCAAAATACAAAATACAACTCAACAAACGAAAAACCTATACCTAACTAATAACACCTACTAAAAACAAAAGACTGAAAACAAGACTTAAAAACAAAGAGCGACCAAACATGACACTGCTGCCAATTGCCTAGCCAACAGACTTGGTCGGCCGACCACTTAAATGGACAGTCGGCTGGGAAATATGGCCGACCGGCCAAGGCATGTGGCTGGATAGCTGATAACAGCTATCAGCCACTTACACAACCTTATCCTCTATAAAGGTCTTCTCTTGCTCATTCCTTCAACAAAGCACCATTTTTTTTTAAGTTTTCTTTAAAAATGGAGATATTTCTTGCCAAACGGCTCAAGGATTGGACGGTCACTTTAGACGGCATAGAAAAGGTAAATTTTAGCAGTTTCAGCATAAATGCGCTTTTTCCATTCCTTCATGTTAAAGCTCGGTGTTGGAACTCGATTGCACACGTGTTTCATTTCGGAGCACAAGAAATGTGTCCTACTCTCAAAGATTTTCAAGCATTAATAGAGTCCCGGCGCGATGAGGAAATTATACCTTAACCCCGTTTTAGCCATGCACAGGCTCTTGAATGGATGCGTGGGCTTACTTTACATGAGGCTCGGTCCTTGGGTCATGACAGGGAGTTAGATATACCTAGCTTGATTCATCGGTTTTCTGGCATTAGAGACAGAGGTGTCCTTCTCTGGCGAGGTTATCATTAACATGCCCTCTGCTTATGTTTACTTGCACAATTTCTACTTACCCCTAGTTGCAAGGGAGCTAGCATTAGGTTGATCGAAGTGGCTCAATGTCTCAAGGAGGATAAGAGCTGTATAGGTTTTGCACTGGTGGAAACTTTGATGGGTTTGGATGCCTTCCATCAACGAGAGACTACTCGATTTGCAAGGAGTCCACTGCTTCTCCAGGTATTGTTTCCCATCGTCTCTGATTTATGATTTCTCACATCACTTGGCACTTATTCTCTATTTTCCCTCAAAAACCCTTTCCTCACTTTTTCCTCTCAACATACATCTCTCTATTCTTTAATCTCTCTTATTTTTCATCCCTTCCCAGGTGTGGTTGATGGATAAGATAAAGGTGGTGGATTCTTGCCCCGAGTATTGGGCCAAATCTAACTTCTTTCGCCAGCAACTAGTGGACTTTCCCATAGGGGGATTGTGGTGCGACTGGATATGCAGTAGATCTGCAGCTAAAATCACTTGGCATTGCCCTTGGCTTAGCTTGGCTGAGATGAGTTACAGCATGTCCGACAGTCGGGTATACAGTTGATTGGCCTCACACACTGTGTGCTCTATTTTCCATTCCCGTTCAGACGTTAGTTTGGACATGATCAGACTTGCCCAAATGAGTTGGAATACCCTGCTTCATTTCCATTCCATGCTTTATACTTGGAAAGATACCTCACTGCCTGGAGGACGAGAGAGCTCCTGATCCCTGCTACTAACTTTAGTTATGCCCTTTCCGGTGAGTGCTCAGCTTGGCTCGAGGATATGGCACAAGTTAGACCATCCTTGGCTGCAGAGACTTCCACGAGTGCAAGCAGGAGGCAGAGGACTGGTACCTGACTTATCTGTGCCCCTAGTTTATTACTTTGACTTTTCTTTTCAAGGTTTTGTGATGTAAAAGCAACTTTGATTTAATCAGAGAGTTGGAGAATGTACTTGTGTTAAAACCATGGAATTAAAGTTGATTACTGAAAACTTTTCCTTTTGGTCCAAAGAATGGTCTGTGTTGTAAAAGGTAAAATTTTGAGAAAATCAACTTCATTAAAAAATTTCAAAACGATTTTCAGAAACGGTCACTGCCCGACACACATGGAATCAATCCTTAAGACGTACAACCTCGAACCACAAGATCATAACTGCCTATGATTGCATCGACCATTACTGCTCTATCTTGCAACTAGCCCATCTACCAAATGGAGGTAACACAACCAAGCTAACAGATGATGGAAAAGGACGGACTGATCAAACAAATAGACAGGACAGTTAAGTTTGTGATAGTTATGGCCGAACTTCGGGATCAAGTTGCTTACGTATCCCAAAGATGGGAATCGGGCCTTACGTCATTCGGTTCAGGTTCACTTGAGTATTAATTCTCTTCCCTTGCGCTTGAACTTTTGCCAAAGCCGCCCTTTCGGTTTTTCGACCTTGCAAGCTCTATTTTTCTTTATTTCTAATTTTTCATGCTCTAACTTTTTCCTAGGTCACATTTTTGGGTTTTCGGCCTAGCGAGCCTCTCAGGGATAGTATTTTCTCAACTTGTCCATGTTGATCAGTTGTGAGAACTCTAGGCCATCTAAATCCAAAAGGATGATCGCTCCTCTTGACCAGATAGACTTAATGATACAGGGACCAGCCCAATTGGGTCGAAACTTTCCCCTGGGGTCATGGATGGGAGCTCGGTTGTCTTTGAGCACCATATCTCCTTATTTGAGGTTTCTAGATTTAACTTTCTTATTGAAGGCCCTAGCAATTCTACGCTGATACCCTTGGATATGATGCAATGCCTTCAACCTCCTCTCATCAAACAACATCAATTCTTTGAACCTACTCTACAGCCAATCCACCTCTGTTATCTGACACTCGACCATAATTCTCAGTGATGGTACTTCAATCTCAATCGGCAAAACAGCTTCCATCACATATACTAGAGAGTAGGGGGTCACCCCCGTGGATGTCAAATTGATGTTCTATAACCCCAGAGTGCAAAACACAATTTATCTGGCCAGTCTTTATAGGTTTCAACCATTTTCTGTAGGATGTTTTTCACATTCTTGTTTGTGGCTTCAACAACTCCATTGGTATGTGGTCTGTACGTTGATAACTTATGAAAAGCCACGTTGTATTTCTCGAGCAAATCCATCACCTCTTTCTTGAAGTGCGAGCCATTATCTAATATGATTTCATGTAGTACCCCATACCTGCAGATGATGTTGTTCTTGATAAACTTGGCCACATGTGACACCTTCAACACTGGATAAGACTGCGCTTCCACCCATTTGGTAAAATAGTTGAATGCCACCAAGACGAACTGATGTCCATTTGAGCCCTTTGGTGAGATTGCTCCAATGATATCAATTCCTCAAACTGAGAAAGGCCATGGCGAAGTGATGTTATAGAGCTTCGACAGCGGAATGTTCATGCGATTAGCATGAATTTGACATTTGTGGCATCACCGAACAAAATTAATACAATTCTCCTCCATAGTTGGCCATTAATAGCCTTGCCTGAGGATCTTCCTAGCCACCATCACACCATTCATGTGTGCTCCACACTCCTCTCCATGGATGGCCTCCATGAGATGTTTCAATTCCTCTTCTTTGATGCAGAGCTTATGCATTCCCAAATAGCCTCTCTTGTACAACTCATTCCCGTAAATGATAAACTAGACGGCCAGACACCATATTCCCCGCTTATCCTTGTCATTTGCCCTTGGTGGATACATATCCTACTCCAAAAAATTCCAAATGTCGTAATACCAGAGGTTTTTGTCTTGAACCTCATATATTGCGGCTATCAGATCATAAGCAAGCGTATACTTCTGTTCAATGAAAATTGGGCGCATCTTAACCCCGAGCGGTATATCTACCATGGAGGATAGAGGGGCTAGCGCATCAGCAAACCGGTTGTTCTCTCTTAGCAGATGCGTAAATGTCAGTTTTTCAAACCTCGGAATCAGAATGTCCAGGGCCTGATGATAAACCTTCATTTTCTCTTCCTTGACCTTCCAGTCCCCATTGGCTTGAGCAATAACTAGGTTCAAGCTCTAATGACGTCTAACATTATTGCCCCTAGTTCTAGGGCAACTTCCAACTGTAGACGTCCTCGAACATCCCGGGAGGAATGAATCCCGTTCTGTTCGTTTTGGGCTCACTACAGTTCGGACTCTCAAATTGTCACGGTTCTTAATCTGAACCAAAGAGTCCAAATCCGGCAAATCGTTTTGAGAAAACAGATTTTGGGCGCATCTTAACCCCGAGCGGTATATCTACCATGGAGGATAGAGGGGCTAGCGCATCAGCAAACCGGTTGTTCTCTCTTAGCAGATGCGTAAATGTCAGTTTTTCAAACCTCGGAATCGGAATGTCCAGGACCTGATGATAAACCTTCATTTTCTCTTCCTTGACCTTCCAGTCCCCATTGGCTTGAGCAATAACTAGGTTCAAGCTCTAATGACGTCTAACATTATTGCCCCTAGTTCTAGGGCAGCTTCCAACTGTAGACGTCCTCGAACGTCCTGGGAGGAATGAATCCCGTTCTGTTCGTTTTGGGCTCACTACAGTTCGGACTCTCAAATTGTCACGATTCTTAATCTGAACCAAAGAGTCCAAATCCGGCAAATCATTTTGAGAAAACAGATTTTTAGAAAAGAAGTGTCAAACACGGACTGTTTTGCCAGATACAGAGTCGCCACCTAAATATTTTTTTATGGGGGGAATTTAGGAAACCCTGACTCGTTTGCCTAAGGCCACGTGTCCGTCATCACCAAAGTTGCCTCGGCTTGGGAACTTGCGTACGATTGGGGAAGGTCAGCTATGAGCACCCCCTCTCACCCGATCCAAAGATCGGCCTCTACTAACCATGATATCCTGTTTTGAAAACATTATGCGTTCTTACTCCGATTAATTAGTTAATCTTACTATGTGATGCGCACAACACAAAAGTATAGACTATATCGTCTAATTTGGAACAAAGCATTGCATATCCGTT